AAAAGAGCAACCAGTAATTGAAAGCACTAAACTCTCCAAATGATCATCCCCTCCCTTTTCAAGGTACTCCTGGGTCTTACATTGTACCAGGATGTTATCACTAATTCCACTTTAGTCTAATATCAAGATAATGCGCTGGCCATATATGTTGTTTCTATGCAATGATGTCAGATACTCCCTGCCATGCTGTCTGGATATATAATTACCAAACTCGTTTTCTGTGATTCACTGGGATTATCATACTGAAAATTCTTTTTCTTTTAATGTCCCTTTGTGGAACAAGAAAGTTCTGTAGTGACTTAGTCATAGTGTTACATTTGAAATCTTTATAATGCAAACCAGGAAAGTTCAGGATGCTTGCTTTTCATAGCCAGATTATTCACTCATTAAAAATTAAAATATAATGTTCATTTCAGGTGGTGGGCTGGATGTTGTTAGTTCCCACATGCCCAGTTCAGCAGCACAGAACTAAAATAGCTCTGCTGGGTAGCATTTCTGAGGTCATCTTTGCTGGACTCTTATACTTTCACTACTGCAAACTCCTTATTCCTAATTTGGTAGCATCAAATCTATTGAAAATTCAAAGATCTCAATATGAGGAGATAATGAAAATACTTAGATTTGTGGTAGAGAAGGAAAGGAGCCTTTCCCCTTTGATTCTCTTTTTGTTCGATATACATTTACTCGACATTAGCTACACACTAATAATAGTGCTGGGCCCCGGGGTTGTGAACATGAATAAAACATAATCACTTTCCCCAAGAAGGTCATAATGTAGTATAGAAAAGACATATGAACAAATAGTTACAATCTTATAAGATACTCATAATAAAAGTATGAACAAAGTGCTATGAGGAGACTCAGTGCTGTGTGAAGGTGGCTGGGAGAGCATTTTCCCATTTAATGCATGCTACAAGATAATGAAACAAGGAACAACATATTTTAAATGCTGGAAATGAGCATTTGGAAAATGAAAATAAAGTAAAAGTGCCAATTATAATAACATCAAAACATTAGTGCTTAAGAATAACCTTAAAGATATGAAAGGACTATACACATAAAATATGTGAGTAAACATAAAATAGTTTTCTTGGTAATTTCTTAATGCCTTTATAAAATAGAATGGCTTATTCAAAGCAAAAAATAGCAATTGTTATGAGATTTATAAAATGTATATAATAAACAATAGCTCAAAGAACTAGAGGTAAAATTAAAATATACCATTATAAGTTTCTTGAATTATGTGTGTGAAGTGGAATAACACTAATTGAACCTAGATTACTAATAAAAATTCAGATTGCAAACTTCCAGAACAACCATTAAAAAAAGAAAAAGAGGTATAACAAATAACCTATTAGATAAAATGGAAAACCAAAAATATAGTTCTTCCCCAAAAGGCTGGGAAGGAAGAAAAATGGAATAAAGAATATGAGGGTAAAATACAAAACAAATTGTATGATGGTAGACTTAAACTCAATAACATCCATAATTACTTTAAATGTAAATGGTAAGGGCATCTGTTAAAAGGCAGAGGTGATGAGCAACTCATCACTTCTATTCACTGTTGTACTGGAAGCAGGACAATTTGTCAAGAAAACACAGATTGGAAAAGAAGCAGCAAAAACTGCCTTCACTTGCAGACATTTCAGTGTATAAAGAAAATCCTAAACCATCCACAAAATGTTTACTAGATACGATAAGTGAATTTAACAAGGTTGCATGTATAAAGTCATTTCCAAAAATCAACTTTATTTTTAGGAACATTTGATAAATGGAATACTAGGAGCATTTGGGAAAAGGAAGTTAAAATATGCCATTTATAATAACATCAAAAATATAAATTTTAAAGAATAAACTTAAAAAATATTTAAGGTCTATTTATATACTGTAAACTTCAAAATATTCCTGAGATAAATTAGAGAGAACTAAAATAAATGGGCAAATATATTATGATTTTGGATAAAACACCCAATATTAAGATACTCATTCTTCCCAGTGTGACCTGTAGCTCTAATGCAACCTCAATCAAAATTCCAGAAGGTTTTTTTTTTTCTTTGTGAAACGTTAGGCTGATTTTAAATTCATGTGGCAATGCAAAGACTAGAATAGTTACCCAAATAAAAAAGAAGAAAAATTTGGAGGACTTACCTAGTTTCTAGATGATTATCAAACTGCAGTAATAGGACAGGATGGTATTGGGGTAAAGATAGATGGCGGATAATTGGAATAGAATAGAGTCCTGAAATAGACCCACACTTGTACAAGTATAAAGTCAATTGATATTTTTTAACCAGGGCAGTAAGGCAACTCAATATGGAAAAGAAAGTCTTTTCACCAAGAATGCTTGAACAATTGACTATCATTAGGGCCCCAAAATGGACCTTAACGTATACATACACTGTGGACTAAAATTAATTGGAGTGGTATCACAGACCTAAAAGTAAAATTAACAACATAAAGCTCATGAAGAAAATGTGGAAGAAAGCCTCATGAACTTGAGGTGGGCAAAGATCCCTTGACAAAAACCAAGAAAGCACCAATAAAAGGAAAATCAATCATAAAATGAATTTCATAAAAATTAGGTATTACTCATTAAAAGCATTCATAAGCTGAATATGCAAGCACAGATTGAAAGCAAATATTCATAATATATGTATCTGACATATATTATGAAAATATTTATCTGAAATAGAGAATTTCTACAATTTGTATAAAAAGACAAACAACTCCCTTCCCCCATCCACCGTCCACCACCACATGGGCAAAATACTTGAAAAGGCACCTCCCCAATGAAGATAAATGAATGGCCAATAAACACATGAAGAAAGTTCTCAACACTATTAGTCATCAAGGAAATAAAAAAAAATGAAATATTACTAAACATTCATTAGAATGGTTAAAATTTAGAAAACTGGTAACATCAGGGATGTGAGGCAACTGAATTTTTTTTAACATTTTTTATTGATTTATAATCATTTTACAAGGTTGTGTCAAATTCCAGTGTAGAGCACAATTTTTCAATTATACATGTACATATATATATTCATTGTCACATTTTTTCTCTGAACTGAATTTTTTTTTAAACCCAGCAACATTTTTTTTTTAATGAAGCATAGTTGATTTACAATGTTGTGTTAGTTTCTGGTGTACAGCAAAGTGATTCAATTGTACATATATATATTCTTTTTCATTTTTTTTCCATTATGGTTTATTATAGAATGTTGAATATGGTTCCCTGTGCTATACAGTTGGTCCTTTGTTTATCTATTTTATATATAGTAGTTTGTATCTGCTAATCCCAAATTCCTAATTCATCCCTCCCCCACTTCATTTCCTCTTTGGTAACCGTAAGTTTGTTATCTATATCTGTGAATCTGTTTCTGTTTCATAAATAAGTTCATTTGTGTCATATTTTATATTCCACATGTAAGTAATATATGGTGTTTGTCTTTCTCTTTCTGACTTACTTCACTTAATATGATCATCTCGAGGTCCATTCATGAACGACTGAATTTTTATGCATTGCTACAAGGGGGTAGACAATATGTCTGACAATTTTTTGTAAGTTAAAACATATACCTATCCCATGATCCAACAATTCTTTCCCCGAAGAAATGAAAACATATTTGTTCAAAAATGCATGTATATAAATGTTCATGCAGCATTACTGATATCCAAAAAATAGAAACACCTCAAATATCTGAAAGCAGAATGGATAAACATACATTTTACTCAGCAACAAAAGAACTATTGATACTTAACACTAACATGGATGCATTCTGAAAGCATTTTGCTGAGCAAAGGCCCAGCGAAAGAGTACATACTGTATGATTTCATTTATATGAGTTCTAGGACGAGAAAAACCAATCTATACAGAGAAAGAAGTTAGAACTTGTTTCATGGGGGATGGGGACTACTGTCGAAAAAACGGTATGGGGTGTGCTTTTCAGGCCGTTCTTTATCTTCACTGGAATGTGAATTACGTGGATAGATGCATTTGTCAAAATCCATCAACCTGTACACTTAAGAACTGTTCATTTTGCTGTGGGTAAATTCTACTTGATTAAACCTAGATTAAAAATATTAAAAATAAGAAGTAGAGGTAACTATCTGTCAAAACTTGTATGTAAATCTCATGGAAATACAGTAAAATTCCTTACAGATTGAAATTTGAGAAGTAAATTGTTTCTTTTGTTATTGTTTTGTTTTACTTTTTACCTATTTTATGACTGTATTTTAGTAATTTTTTTCCCATGGGGAACTTATTTTCTCATATAATAGGAAGTCTAGAAGTAGAAAAGATCCAGAATTTCTTAATTCAGTAGTTTAATGGTATCATCAAACTCATAGCTCAGCATTTCTTCTCAAAATCATTTCCTGTAGTGACTATTATGAGTGTGTTGCTTCCAGGCATCCATGTGTCGACAATGACACCCAGTGAAAAAATGACAGACCATAAGTTCCTTGTGTCACTTGAACATTTTCCTATTATAAACTATCATAGACATATCAAGTAGCATATATTTTATACATTTAGGGTTTAACGAATAATGAAACAATTTTGCATGACCTCACCACTCAGCTCAGAGTAGACATAGCAAACACCACTGAAGACCCCTGTATGCCTCTTCCCAGTGGTGGTCTTCCCCTCCCCAGAAGAGCTGGCCAGGCTCTTGAATTTTGCATTTTTTGTTCTTTTGCTTTTCTTTACAGTTTTATAATAGTCAAAGAGAATTCCTAAATAATATATTGTTTAGTTGTGCATATTTTGTACCTTTCTTAAATGAAGTTAACCATTACTTCATTTGTTAAACACGTTTATGATACTTCATCATGTTGATGCTTGTTTCTTTATTCCACCACTTCATTGCTATATTCCACTAAATGAATGTACATTATTTATTCATTGGCGTCTCTATGAATATTTGTTTTTTCCAGTATTAATTTTTTATTATTTATTTCTTTTGCAATTTATTCTTTTGCAACCTTTGAATACAAAGGTATTCAAGTGAATTGCCTTTTCTATGTATCCTGGTAGCAAAATGCAAGACTTTCTCTGGAGATATGTGTTAGTAGTGTGGTAGGTTATGCACAAATGTTCTATATAGTGCTATTTTCTCCTAAATTTGGTTGTTCCAATTGCCAAAACTATCAGCAGTATATCAATATCCACATCTGATCAACCTGTTTTCAAAAACTGAATATTATCATACTTTTCAGTTTTTATCAATTTGATAGATAGAAAATAGTATCTCAATGTGGTTTTAAATTATACATATATTTATGGGCGCCTTCATATTTCTTTTTCCAAGAAACTTATCTCTCTCTCTCTCTCTTTTTTTTTTTTTTTTTGCTAATTCTTCTATTGGGTTCTTTGTCTTTTTCTTCTTATATTTTAGAAGCTCTTTATAGATTCTGGGTAAATCTCTCTTTAGTTATATGTATTTCAAATATCTCTTCTCAGTTTGTGGCCCCTTTTTTAACTCTATCACATTTTTTTAAGAACAGAAATTATTCATTTTAAATAGTCTGTTTTGGAGGGAGGGTATAACTCAAGTGGTAGAGCACATACTTAACGTGCGTGAGGTTCTAGGTTCAATCCCCAGTACCTTCCTTAAGAATAAACAAGTAAATAAATAAACCTAATTACCTCCCCCAACCAAAAAAAAAAAAAGCAAAAGAATAGAAATAGTCTATTTTATCAATAATTTCTTTTATAACTTAGCATATTTACACATTACTTATGATGTATTTCTCAGACATTCAACTACCTTTCCTTTTATATTATTTAAAGTTTGGTCTTTCCTGAAAAGTTTAATCCTTCTGGAACTGTGTTTTGTATACCACACGAAGATGAGGTAGGGGTTGTCAAGTACCGTGAAGAGTCTGAGATGTTACCCTACTTGCAAGCTACCTTTTATAGATGCTTGCAGAAGACACACAATCCCTGGGTCAGATCAAAGTTCTTTATTACATTAATAGCAGTAGCTAGGGTGTCAGAATTCATGCCAGTTTCTCAGGCCCCGATTCCTGCAGGGTGACTTAAAGAAGGTCAGGTGACCCTGCAAATACTGTGAGTTATGTTATATAGAAGAGGAACTCCAAGCTTGGAGAACCCGAATCTTTTATAGTGGGTGGCTAGTGTTCCTGACCTTTTCTCCATAGCGACACCTTATCTATATTATACTGGGAGTAATCAAACCTGCTTTTTGCTCCAGAGGGAAATATATCTTTCTCTTCCAAGGCTGTTTGCTCTATCACCATCCTTGAGAAGACAGTCTAGAATAAAGGCAGCCAGTGCTTCTGCTTATGACACATAATTATGAGAGGCCCATAGAGAACTGTCTCTTAACAGGGATGTGCTTCCTCCCACGCCTTGCCCCGATATTTATGACCAGTTATCTCAGATAGCTTTTAATGTATGGATTCTTCTTTCCCCAGGTGTCTTTAATATAGTCAGGTTTGAATATTAACATAACATAATCAGGTTTCCATGTATGTATGTGTCTGTTTCTGGGCTCTCTGTTCTATTAATCAGTAGTCTGTCTCTGCATTGATCCCATATACCTTTACTTACTATGGCTTTATAATAAATCTTGACCTCTGGTAGAGCAATTTCTCCCCCAACCCCCACAGATACCCATTTTATTCTTCTTCAGAAGTGTCTTAAATACTCTTGTATTTTCATTCTTCCTCATATTTAAAAAATCTACACAAGTTTCAATGTAAAATATTTTTTCATGCAATCCAGACCTTCTTTCTGGGGTTGTTTGGCTTGCTCCAGAATTTTGTTTAAAACTTCCTAAAGTAGACTTTATTCAGGTGTCTCCAGTGTGTCTTTCCACCATAGATAGGTTCCAAGCTTTGGTTCCTGTATTCTGCATGCTGCCCTTTTAAAGCCAAAGTTCTGGTGTTCAGACATCAGCAGATGGTCTGGGGACAAATGACAGGTTCAGCTCATTTACTTCTCTGCATGGATCCTTTCACATTGTTTTCAGCTTCTCTGAATTTTTCTTGCCTTTTTTTTTTTTTTGGCAGCTCAGCTGTGCATCTTAAAAGATATTTTGTCTATTTCACCTAACCATTTTAGGAGTTTTGCACAGAGTGTTTTTCAGGATAGGTAATCATTCATATTGCCAAAAACAGAAGTCTCATGTCAATAGTGATTTTAAAATTGTTTAATCCCACAAAATTACATCTTCCACACAATAAACTTTCAACAAAGTGTGTTTAATTGAACTTAATAACATTTCAATTGGGTTTTTCTGATGCTGCCTCATCATTCCGAAATAACCCAGGACCTAACTTGGCATTTCCACCGTTAGATGATTTTTATCCTATCATTTAAACTTAAAAAATATTTCAAATACACAGAAAATAATATAATTGAATCTTTGTACTTGCCATGAAGATTAAACACATGTTAATATAGTGTCCTGTTTTCTTTAGTCTGTAGTTATATGACTAGATAACAAGCAGTGTATATTATTTCAGGTACTTTAAAATTTTACATTAATAATATAGTGATCTTCATGAACCTTTTGAAACCTGCTTTTTTCCCCCCTCTCAACATCATGTTTGAAAATTTTTTCTATACTGATACCCTAAGCTTTAATTCAGTTATTGCAAGTCCTAGCCGTAATTTTATTGTAAATTAAATTTTATTTAATGGTATCTTTATTCTACAATGAACATTCTTTTATACATCCTTTTGAACTTATATTTGAGACTTTAAAAAAAATTAGATGCCTAGAACTGAAAATGCTTTGTAATAGGATGCACTTAACTTTAACATTTAGGTATATCCAGTTTCTTGTATCTAGTCTTTATGATCGTGATGACATTGATCATTATAGAAGATAAGACATTTTTACCTTATTTTGTTATTTAATCTTTACAGTTTGTGAAAAGTACCTAATAACTGGTCTGGACAAGGATTGTGCTGAATATATGTTGTGCACGACATCTTGTGTATAATTCAAATTCATACTATTAGATAATGAATAGTTAGGTGATTTGGAACTTCATACCCCTCTTTTTTTCTATAGGTATTTATGAGCCTCCATTTCTTGTACTACTGCAGTGAACCAACCTTGGATGTGAAAATTGCCTTTTGTCAGGTGTGTGTTCCTTACAGGTAAAACAAGGTACAGTATATTCCCTTGTATTTCCATTTTGCCATTCCATCTTGCATAATTCCACACCAGAGTTAGTATTTATGTAATATTAAAAGTAGCTTAGGAAATAAAAGTGGATACCTAGGTGTTTTTTTCTTTCCCAGTTCATTTAAGTTAGAATAGGAATGAAGAGCTTTCTTTTTAATAATTCTAAATACAGTATTTCATCACTGTAGGGAGTGATGTCTTACTAGATTTAACGTTATTAGTGTCATTTTCAGATCCTTGCAATGTGGTTTTAATCATCAAAATAGCTCAGTTCTATGTTACTTTTCATTCTAACGACAGATGAGCCCCTAGTAGAGTATCTCCGATACCTAAGTATCATAATATTTTCCCTAGGAGATGCTCAGTTTGCTTTTTGATGCCCAGTTCTAACCAGTAGTTGGTAAAAAGGCTGAACAACAGACAGTAATGACAAAGGTGTCTTTCATCTACAGTGAACACTAGTAAGAAGGTGGTGTGCATGGACCAGATAAGAGTCTTTTGCTCTTATATTCACACAAACTCTGTTCTTAGGAAATAGGGTACCTGAGGCACCTGTACCTACTATACGTATGTTTAGGTAGTTCTCACTTAAGCCTGACATCATGACAGAATTAATAGTGCTCATTTTTACACTCAGAAATTATTTGTTATTTGGCCAATATATTATATGGTAACTCTATTCATACCCCAAGCAGAGAGCACTTCGGTTTTTCTCTAATGATTTTCATGGTGTCTTCTCACTGAGCTGGGCTGTAGACAGAGAATGATATTCATCCATTGAGACAAGGTTTAAAAAATAACTCTACAGCTTCTATTATTTTGATACAATATTTTCTGATTCTAGAAGTAATATGTGCTTACTATAGAAAATGTAGAAAAGTACAAAGGGAGAGAAAACATTGGTCAATCTGTTCTTCTTGAGAGTAGAATTTCTGTGGGAAAGTGAAGTGTGTTGCATGCTATGAGCAGGTTTTACTGATCTGCTTCATCTTCCCAACCTCTAAATGCAGTGCTGGAAGTCTCAGACTTAAGATAACTGCTTTTCTCTAGAAAGAACTCTGTATCTGAGCAGCCTTGGTTAGAAATTACAAATCTAACACTTACTAGCCGTTTACTTATGACCTTGGGCAAGTTAGTTAACCTCACTGTGTTTCAGTACCTAACTTCTAGGTTTATGAGAATTAAGTGAGTTCGTACTTGCCGAACACCGAGAACAGTGCTGGAATGTTTTTGTTAAATAGCTAACTAAATTTAAAATAAATTTACATTCACTCTTCTGGTACTCCCTCTGAGTTCTAGTGTTTTAAATATTATCAACATGTTGGACACTCCTACAGTTCTATCTCCAACACAAACCTCTCCCTGAAGCTAGACTCGTCTACCAACTGCTTGTTCTACATCTCAGCTTAGATGTCTAGTAGGCATATCAAACGAAATATGTCCCAAACCAAACCCTTGACCTTCCCTACAAAATTGCTTTGCTCTAATTCAGTAAATGCTAGATCCATATTTCCCATTTCTTAGAACAAAATCTTCAGAATCATCTTTTGGGCAACACTTGGCATCCAATCTGTCAGCAAATTCTGTTGGCTCTGCATTAACAATATATCTGGAATCTCACCACTTCTTGCCATTCTCTCCTCTACCATTCTGATCCAAGCTACCATAACTCTTATCTGGATTAATGCAAGAGCTTCCACGCTTGCTCACCCCCAAATGGTTTACTCTCAAACATCAGCAAGAGTGATACTTGAAAAATATAAGTGAGATCATGCCACATCTTGGTTAGAAACAAAACAAAACAGAAAAACCATTCGATCAAGTGAGATGTCTTCCCACCCCACTTATGGTAAACATTCTTGAAATAAATACTCAAGCCTTTAACCATGTAGATACCTAGACACGCCTCCCTGAAATGCTCTTCCTTTATTATCCACTTGGCCCACTCCTTCACCACCTTCAGGACTTGGCTCAAATGTCATTTTAAGAAAGTCTTTTCTAACTATCCTATTTTAAATTGCCCCTTCCTAACCCACATTGTCTATCCAGCTTCCCTGCCTTTCCTTTTTCCCCTGCGTAGCGCTTTTTGGCATCTGATACACCATATGTGTGACTAATCTCTTGCTTCTCCCTCTCTGCTAGAATGCATTTTTTCCACTTGGACATGGAGTTTTTTCAACAGTGTGCACACACAGGCTCACACAGGTTCACAAGGGTTGATTGTGCACATCTCTTCCCAGCTCTAAGTTCAAGGATGTTGGGTTGGTCGACTGAACTCTGTCATGATAGGAACATATACATTATGTAAATAAGCAATTGCTGCAGATGAGTTCTCTTCCGTCCGCCACCCCCAGCCAGTTGTTGAGCAATTACCAGCACGTCGTTGGGGTTTTGTCTCTTTTGCACACTGCTGTACTGTAGCACTAACAATAGTATCCGGAATATGGTGGACTCTCACCAAATATTTGCTTAATGAATGAATAAGTGATATATTTGGTTAATGTAATCAATTGCAACTGTGATTGTGCTCTGGTGGAAAATGAGCAGACCTGAATTTCTGGTTAGAATATCTGGGTTTACCATTTGCAAGCTGTATGACTGAGCTGTTTCCTTACGTCCATGATCCTAGCCATTTACCATGGGCACTAACACTTAAACAAACCACAAACAAACAAGTATATATTTTACGTATTTCATGACTAAATCTGAACTTTAAAAACTAGCAATTAGAAAAATCTTAACACTTCAGCTATTTTTTTAAATCCAAAGAGTTTTTATGTAGGTTGAAGTTATTTTTAAATCAGCTCCCAGAATTTGGGTACAGATGCAGAATGTCTATTTCTAGGAAGAGTTCTTTTAAAGCAAAGGAATACAGAGAAGAAATGAAGCATGAACTTTCTTAATGACTCTTGATTTTTTTTTTTTTTGCTCACTATGTGCTTTCGGTACCCAGAAAATATACATACATATTCTATCACTTAAAAAAACTAAAAATATCATAGCACACAGAGTATTTCTAGTTGTGACTCAGAGCATTTTATTTACTTTCCATATAGAATTTTTATTTGATAATAATGTTTATTTTTTTCTTTTCCTGTAGCCCTATGCCTTATTTACTATTCTAGCAATTTAAAGAAAATAGTGTATTTATTATTAGAGGCAGAATTCTCTTTTTGGTTTTACTTTAAAACTATATTCTTTGGAAGCTTCTCATTTCATGAGACATCTCATGGATCCTTGGTATGCTGTGGGGTTTAACATGATCTCCAGCAGGGGTTAGGTTGCTCCCAACTTCTTGCCACACAGACGACACACAAAGACCACCTTGTCTTTAACAACAAGTGTATCCAGATTCCAGGTCTCTTGAGTCTTAATCTGTGGCTTTAAAACATGTCATATCTCCAAGGTTTTCACTGTTATCAGTAAGGAATCATAGAAAATATGGAAAATAAAATTGCCCAGATAATTACTTTTTAACAGTAAATATGTACATTATCTGTAGTAGTATTAAGTTTATTTCTTAGTTGAATTATTTGAAAAACATTGGATTCATTGAATTTTTTAGCTACTCCTGTTGATCTATTTTTTTAAACAGCAAGCAGTTTTTGTAGGCAAGAGGTTTCTTGTTATATTCTGGAGAGAAACTTGTGTTTGTAATGTTAGAGAATAAAAAAAATCTTTAGATTGCACTTGTATGAATCCTTTACAAAAATATAGACCAACAGGGAATTGAAAGTGCAAAAACTCTTGATTCTCCTGAGAAATAGGTAAGCCTTCTTAATCTTCTTTCCTCTATTGAACAAAGAAGTGTAGAGCTGTTAAATTTCACTCTATGAATTAAAAAAAAATCAGTGAAGAGTGCTATTTTGGAACTCTGCTGTCCTAAATAGATGAGTCAGGGTCTTAGCCAGGGAACTTATACATAGAAAGATATTTTGTGTTGGAAACTGCATGCACACCTGCTGGTGTCTACAGTATTTACCACATCCTGATATGTGTTACCTTTGGCTCTACAGGTTTGTGTTTTCCTCATTCTGCGGTGACTGCCTCTGGGGCAGGACCAGGGCATCCTCATTCTTGCCTTCCAAGCCCAGAATTCTATTTTAATTCAGTAAATGTTCAGTAAATGCTTTTTGAGTAAAATACTGTAAATAAAAACTCAGAAAAACACTGCATCCTGAATAGAAATCTGTTTCCCTTTCAAAATCAAGTTAATTTCTCAACATCTGAACACCTTATAATTTATATTGATAAATTTAATTGCATTTTGGTTATTCTGCTAATCACAAGTCAATGTTAACCTAACATTTATCTAAAAGTTATTAAGTTATTGTCTGCTCTAGATGTTTACTGATGCTTGAGTTGGTTGTGAATTATTTGAAATGATTTCCTGATTTTCAGAAAGCCTGAGACACAAAAGGTTCAAATTAATGAATCAACAATTATGAGTTTAAATGAGTTTCTACTGTATAGCACAGGGAACTATATTCAATATCTTGTAGTAACCTGTAATGAAAAGAATATGAAAAGGAATGTAAGTATGTATATGTATGACTGAAACATCATGCTGCACACCAGACACTGACACAACATTGTAAACTGACTATACTACAATTAAAAAACAACAACAAAAATAATTATGAGTTTAAGTAACACTAGAAATAAGGGGACTGAGCTCAGTGGACTTCTTTTTGGCTATGACACAGAAACTCATCATGCCTTTGTTACATTTTCTATGCAAGGAGATACCTACACATTGACAGGCTGATTACTGATTAATTCCATAGTTCATTTATTCAGCACATTTTTACTGAGAACCTATCTTGCGTATCTATAACTTGTAGAAATTAGGGGTACAGGGTGAGCAATATAGTTGCTCTCCTCAAAGAACACACTGTCTAGTCTAAAGCACAGTAAAGATTGGCTAGGCTTATAAGCGCAAAGTAAACCTACTC